GTAAAACTAGTCTTGTATATTTAGTTCACCCCAAAATGGGCCAGTAGTATTTGCATATTGTCCCTTAACTTCTGCTGCTTGACTTCACGGAGTAAGAATCATTATGAAATTAAAATTTGCCACAGAAGAGGTGCAGATTCAAATAAATAAAAAAATAGACTGCAGCAATTAACATTTTGTCAGAACCTCTAGTAGCCTACATTACATGCTATTTTGTTTAGTTGTCTGTTCGTAGGAGAATAATGATCTCTATTTATTTTTGTTTAAATCGTGACAATCAATTTATCCCCCCATCCCCATCACCTTTTTTAATATAAATAAGCTCCAGTCAAGCTGCGATATCAAATAGGACCACAGGGAGACGCCAAAAGACCACTAAACCTGCTGTCTTGATTTTACTGTACATGCTACTATGCGATCCATTCAGAATAACTAGACCAGCGCATAATCTAAAACTCCTTCAGTCACCATCCAGTATAACACTCGTGCTTTTAAACCAAATACACGCTGAAAATAATAATTTACTGACATCTGGACTCGACTCTACACAATCTCTGATGAAATCGGTTGGGTTTTCTGAGTTGTTTTGAATTTACTGTTTGAACGCATTCGTTTACTAGATCCTTGGACTGAAAAGTTTACAGGAGTTTACCGGTTTTTGCAGGACACTAATGAATGATGCGCATCAGAGGGGATTTAGAAGTGGGTCTACGCAAAGCCGACTGATAAAGAAGTGGGTATACGCCGTATACCTGCGTATACCCTCCACCTCACCACTGGTTATAAGTGCATGCCAGTTAATTACAGATAAAACTATCATAGTGCAAAAGAACTAGTAGAAAGTCTAATTCAATTAAGTATACTGCACAATGGTTGTTATTGTGCAAATTGTGTATAAAAGTGTTCATTTATTAATTTAATGAAACACATATTAGATATCTAATGCAAAATTACTTTTACCTTATCTGTTATGGGTTTATAATATACTAATGCCTTTTCCAAGTAAATATTGTAAAACTAAACATGTTTGTCTTATTAAAATGTAACCCTATTCCAACCTAAATACTTCTACATGTATTCATTTAGCAGACGCTTTCATCCAAATAAATATATCATAAATTTATTTAAATCGTTGTTTACCAGTCATGAAGCTTTGGTGGTTTTCTTGAAAAATAAACCAGATGATGGTTAAAATGATTTGTGACAGATGCCAGTAAATTAGAACAGATAAAATTAGAAAATAGCAGAAAATGGTAATATAGGATGACTAAAAAAAATTTTTTTTACATTAAGTAAAATTATATATTAATATATATTAAAATGATATATTATTATATATTCTGCAAGTAAAACTTGTTTACTAATTAAATTAAAGGTAATGCAAGTGTAATGCCATTATTGTGCAAAATGTGTATATAAAAAAAGTGTTTATTTAAACAAGCATGAAACGTATAATACTAGAGGCATGTAATACAAAATTTTTACCTTGCCTTTTATAGCTTTATGATATACTTATTGTGACGTTTTCCCATGTAAATGTTGTCTTTATTAAAGCATAACCCTATTTTGACCTAAATGCATTTACTCATTTAGCAGACTCTTTTGTCAGAAGCAAATGAGGACAAGCGATTTATTATTATGTATTTAAATGTTTGACGTTTAGGTTTACCAGTCATGAGGCTTTGGGGTTTTTATTCTGGTTCTCGCTAAATAAGCCAGATGATGGTCAAACTGAATTGTGTTAGATATTTTAGGCTGTTTCTTTTTATGAAACTGCATTAAAAACATGCATTGCCTGTTAAATTGAACATAAACTGAAACGAACAAAGCAGAGGTGTCATCAGTGATGCTTTCAGAGTAAACGGCTCGTTCAGAAATCCCTGAATTATTCATCAAGTCTGCCTGTGCATGCTTATTAAAAATAATTTACACTTTATTTGGTATTTCATTGCCTAATTTAATTACACTAACACATTTTTAAGAGTGACTTTTCAAAAATGATTTCAGGTGCTGCTGTTTTACATTAAATATTTTCTTATTGCAGCTTCTGCTAAGCCACCGTCTGGAAGATTAGGTCCGATCCACGATCATCGTAAGTCCATGATTGCTGATGATTCCCTGTCAAGGGAACTTCGAACTGCATCCTCTAGAGGTCGCTATAAGGAAACTAGAGGACGCAGTGAATCGTTCCCTTCTCAGGGAACCATGGTTACATACCTAACCTGAGACGTTCCCTTTCGAGGGAACTTAGAACCGCATTCTCTAGTTTCCTTATAGCGACCTCTAGAGGACGCAGTGTCTCATTCCCTTCTCAGGGAACCATGGTTACATACGTAACCTGAGACGTTTCATTTGAATTAGTGTCTAGAATATTCATGTAGGCATTGACAAGATCCTCTTTCAAACACACACAGGTGAGCAGTGTGACGTGGTTTGCGGTCCAGATCATTTCTCATGTTCAAGTAAATGCTGCATCGAGAAAGAGTTGGAGTGTGACGGGGAACCGCAGTGCAGCGACGGTTCGGACGAGGCTGAATGCTCCAAACGTAAAAACATGATACATACACATTACCTTAGTAGTTAAAGGAATAGTTCACTCAAAAATAAACATTCTGACATCATTTACTCGCACCTGTATGCCTTGTATGTCTGCTGAAATGCCAAGTTATCTGAAGTCATACTAGAGCTTTGTTTTTTGTTATTGAGTTGTTATTCACCGAAAAGCTAGCTTTTGACATGGGAAGACTTCAAATAAAGTATTACATATACGTAATGCTTTTATGCTGCTTTATTGTCACTTTTGATCTCAAAAGTCCCTTCTGCTTTCATTTAGTAAAAAACATACAGGATTGAGCCTAAGGGGAGTAAATGATGACAGAATTATTTTTATTTTATTTTTTTATTTAGGGATTGAAATAAGGTTCAGGTTCAGGCTCATTTATTAGTTTTATGTGTGATTGAATTGATTCATTTTTTTCTTGTTTTTCTGTTCAGTGGACAGCAAGTTCCGTCGATTGCTGGATATTCCTGTGGACAAAAGCAAAGGTGATTCATATTTCATATTTTTAACTTGAAACTTTAAATATATCTCGCTAAGTATTTATTGATTAAAATTTTATCTTGAAAAGGTCATCGCTGTATTTCTTTTTTTTTTTTGTTATATGCAAACCTGAAATATATATTGTTGGAAGTATTTTTATTTTGTTGAAAAATTCATCACTGTTCATCACTTCAACAATTAATTATATTTAATTGTTTGTTATTAAATATGCAAACATTAAAAATTTCTTTTTAGAGATTTTTGATTATAAAAAACTCATTTGTATTTCATTTGCATTTTACTTTATGATATATGCAAACTTTAAACATATTTTTAAGAATTTATTGATTATAACTTTACCTTTAAAAACTCATCACTGAATTATTTTATATTTATTCTTATGATATATGCAAACCTAAAATACATATTTTTAAATGATCTTCAGTAATCTTGAAAAACTGATTACTGTATTTCATTTTGTTATATGCCATTTGTGTAACTTTAAAAATTATAATTTTATCTTGAAAAGCCATTACTGCATTTCATTTATATTTCATTTTCTGTCATTATTTATGCAAACCTAAACCTTTTTAAACATGTATTGATTATAGTTTTATCTTGAAAATCTTGTTCACTGCATTGTGTTTTTTAAAAAGTTACAAAAGTTGTATTTGCGTATTCACAGTTTGTGTAAATTAAAATCTAAAATACAATTAGGAACTGTTAAAAATATTTTATTCGTCATACGTTATTGTTTTATTTTTGTGAAATTATAATTTTGTCATAATATGTGACCCTGGAGCACAAAAGCTGGGGTATATTTGTAGCAATAGCCAACAATACATAGTATGGGTCAAAATTATCGATTTTTCTTTTATGCCAAAAATCATTAGGATATTAAGTAAAGACCATGTTCCATGAAAATATTTTGTAAATTTTCTACCGTAAATATATCAAAACTTAATTTGTGATTAGTAATATGCATTGCTAAGAACTTCATTTGGACAACTTTAAAGATGATTTTCTCAATATTTAGATTTTTTTGCTCCCTCAGATTCCAGATTTTCAAATAGTTGTATCTCAGCCAAATATTGTCCTATCCTAACAAACCATACATCAATGGAAATATTATTTATTCAGCTTCAGATGATGTATAAATCTCAATTTCGAAAAATTGACACTTAAGACAGGTTTTGTGCTCCAGGGTCACATATAATACTGTTTTAGTGCCTCCTTAATATTAAATTCATTATTAAAATGATTATGAATTACTCTTCCAGTTCATTGCGTGGAGCCGCCAGTAACGGGACCCTGTCGCGCAAGTTTCACTAACTGGTACTACAATCCGTATGAAAGGCTCTGTAACCGCTTCAACTACGGCGGCTGTGATGGGAATGAAAACCGCTTTGAAACGGAGGAGAAGTGCATGCGGTCGTGCAATGGAGTGTCTGGTAATTTTTACTATATTATTATTAGTAGTAGTAGTATTTTATTATTTGAATTATTCATCCGTGCATGTTATTGTGAGGAAAATGTGTGTCTATAATCTGGGGATGGAAAACCGCGGACTTGGCAACACTGATATTAATTAATGAAACTTCAAAAGGCTGTGATTTCGCTGTCAAAGTCAAAATGCGCTGCGGGGGTTTATATGAATGCATCTCTGAAAGGAACCGACCGTCTTCAGAAAACTTTCAGTGGCATTTTCATAAAAGCAGCATTTATGAGCGCAGGGAAACCGCTCCGAAAGCGCCATCTACTGGCAGTCAATTCATTTGCATTTTCAATCGGCCCATCTGCTGTTTTTGTTCAGATCTGTGTGAAAATCGAACCATATTTTTACACAGCGGTTGTAAATGTGAACCATTGGACTGACAAGACTCTAATATGCAAAATCAAAACAATTAAGACCGTAAGATATTTGTTTTAAATGAATATAATAATTAATACTTTTCACTCATCCCTTTTATTAAGAAATGGTTTAAAGGCCAAAATGTGAAGTTTATCATTTTGTAAAAAGTTTGAGAAAATCTGTATCAGAACTGTAAATCATGTCTTTTTACAGTTTTAATGTTACCGTAGCCCTACCCCACTCATACAATATTCATTTTATTTGTGCAGCTCTTCTTAAAAAGCCTTAGATTTGAATTCAGAATTTCCTGATTTCATCAGTCCCTCTTTTTCTGATGAAATAGCTGTTTGCAACTGTTGTAAAGTCATATTTCTTAGATGTTCGTCCATAGCTGGTCACTGTGTCGTGCAAATGAAGTTTAAGAAAACATAAGATTCACGTTTATTTTCTTTCAGAGTCTGACGTGTTTGCCAGACGAGCTCAGTTTGAGAAGCAAGAAAGCACGAGCGAAACAGGTAACACCGCTTATACAAAACACACAGCAGAAATAGCATTCCTTGCATGCTTTCCTTTAAAAGATGAATGTTGAGTGTATGGGAAATGAATCATAAGTTTAACCGAAGTATCGTGAGTGACCTGTTGCTCAGTGTCTGTTTCAGGGTTATTTTAGTATTATTGAGAGACTATTATAGTTTATAATTTAATCATCTTTATTTTTATTTTTTATTGAAGTAAAATTTTACTCATTTTCATGCATTCACTCTAGCAACCACCATAACAACCCTTTTACATTTTCGTCAGAAAATGTACATATCTAGTTATTATTATTTCTACTACTTTTTTTTTATGTAACTAAGACTGAAATAAAAATTAATGAAAACTATAAAGACATTTTATGACAACAACATAAATGAATGAAATGAAATAAATGGGAAATGTTGCCTTGACAAATAGCTGAAATAAAATAAAATTTTTTAAAATATTTTTATATATTGTATAATTATTAAATAATATTATATACAATATTACTGTAATTATGTATTATATTTATTATTATTTTTTACATTATATAATAAATAAAAAGAAAACAGATAGAATAGAAACCGAATAGAGCAAGCTAGTGTTAGAGGCCTTTTTTTGCTTTTGTTAATTGTATAATAAATAAAAAGAAAACAAATAGATAGAATACAAAAACATTAGAGAAGCTAGTGTTAGTTTTTTTTTTTTTCAAGAAAACAAGCAGTTAGTAAATAAATAGAGTGCAAGTCTAAAAGAGACCTTTTTTTTTTAAAGAATAGAATTAGAATAGAGAGTGCTAGAGTTAGAGGGTCAAATAAAGATGGAAGACGTGTGTTTTTAGCCGATTCTTGACGATGGATTGAGTTGGACAGGTCATTCCACCAGGAGGGAACATTTAATGTAAAAGTCTGTGAAATATATATAATATATTAAAATGTGATCCTGGAGCACAAACCCAGTCTTAAAGGGTTAGTTCACCCAAAAATGAAAATTAGCCTATAATTTACTCACCCTCAAGGCATCCTAGGTGT